CAGCTATCACATTTCTTACAAACAGAATGGATGAATATATAAAAGTGTCTATTTCGTCGTTTTTTATATCCTTGATCATATTATAGTACAGTCATTTGGTAGTTTTGCCTGGAAAGTTTTCCGGGAGTTTTGAAAATTGGTAATTTTATAGATTTTGAGGTGCTCATTCCGAATTTCGACCTTGCCACCTCGTATTTTTGCCGTTCGCGCCGCCATATTGGAAAAATGGCGCCAAAAAGCAGTTTTTTGACAATATCTCCTTTCCGACTCATTTTACGATAAAAACAGTTATATACAAAATGAAACTAGAGACAATTAGCTACAATTTATGTATCTACCTTTTTTTCATAAAGTCAACAGTTTAGGCGTACGAGCGCCGCAAAGTGTACTCCAACACGCTCTATAAATAAAATTTAAAAAATCCTACAGGACTCTTACGCGAATGGTATTTAAACACAATTAACAATGCATAGAAGAAAGGCGGTGGAATTATTGTGAAACCGTGCAATTAATCATTTCGCTCGAGCCGCAAATTGTTTATCCGCGTCCTTCTACATAGCGTTAAACAATATCATTATGTTTGGTGTTGATTAACTAATTATTGCAAGTTAGTACATACAAACGTTAGTATCTGATGGTGTCTTGAACTCTGTCAAACTAATGTAAAAATAGGCGCCACGAATAATAATTTAAACAAACATGAATGCCAACGGGCAAAATAATCTCGAGAGGGCAATCATTATTGGAGCGAAACATCGATGAATATATTCCGCAATTCGCATTAAAAATGGAGGAGTCGTGTTACCAAGAAATCATGAAAAAAAACACTTTACTAAATTGGGAATAATGTCGTAAATATGATACACAGGTAGTTCTGCAATCTTGGACGTCCACACTGAGTCTTGACATTAATGTTGACCAGTCTTGGATTGCACATGTTATTAATTAATTTTTCACACAGAAGATCATCGTGGACTTGCACACTGAGCTTTAATCACCATCTTGATGTATTGATGATAGTATTGTTTTTTCCTATTGAGTCTAGGTCTTTCGAGCAAAATGTTAGTAATCATCATGGTCTTACATACTGAATTTTGACCATGGTCACTTAATGTTATCCAGTTTTGGTTTTGCACCTTGTCTTCATTTTCCAACAGTGAGTATTTGGCATCGTTATGATTTTCTGTTGTTTCAAACTGAGTCTTAATTGTTGTCTTCGTCTTGTACATTGATTCTTAACCACGAACTGGGTCTTTTATACAAAGTCTTAGTTATCGTCTTTATTATCAGACTGAATCTTGACGACAGTGTAGGTTTTGCACATCGAGCCTTGGTCTTTCACACAGAATCTTAGTGATCGGCTTGGTCTTACATACTGAGTCTCGCTCATAGTCTTGGCTTTCCACATTGAACCGTTACCGTTACGTTTTTGTCTTTCACATCTAGTCTTCATCTTGCACACAGAGTGTTAGTTAGCCTTCATATTGTAGACTAAGTCCTAATTATCATCTTGGTCTTGCACACTAAGCCTTAGTCATCATCTTCATCTTGCACACTGAACCTTAACGATAGTATTGTATTTTTCTATCGAGTCTTGGTGTTTCACATGAAGTGTTAGTAATCATCTTGGTCTTACATACTCGGTTTGGTATTTACACATTGCCTTGATGTTGAATATTCAACATCGTCAATGTTTTTCACAATTCCACACTGAGTCTTAATCATTGTCTTACACATTGAGCCATGACCACAAACTGTGAGCCTTACTCATCCTCTTGATTTTTTTAACATTGAATCTTGACGATAGTATAGGTTTTTCCCATCGAGCCTTTCAGTCACACTCAGTCTTGCTCATAGACTTAACTCATAGACTTAACTTTCAATATTGTACCGTTACCAAGTTTTTTGTTTTTTACATCGAGTCTTCATCTTGTACACAAAGTGTTAGTTAGCCTTCATATTGTAGACTAAGTCCTAATTATCATCATGGTCTTGCACACTAAGCCTTAGTCATCATCTTCATCTTGTACACTGAACCTTAACGATAATATTACGTTTTTCTATCAAGTCTTACATACAGGTTTGATATTTACATTTTGTTCTGATCTTGAGTATTTGAAATCGTCAGTATTTTTTACAATTCCACGCTGAGTCTTAATCGTTGTCTTCGTCTTGCACATTGAGCCATGGGTCTTACGTAGAGAACCGTACTTATCGTCTTGATTTTTCACACTGAATCTTGATGATAGTGTACATTTTTCCTATCGAGCCTTGGTTTTTTACACAAAGTCTTAGTTATCGTCTTGGTCTTATTAAGTCACCGAGTCTTAGCCATCGTCTTCGATTCTACACTGAGCCTGTCTCTAAGAATCTTAATTGTCGTTTTGGTCTTTTACACTGAGTCTTAACGATTGGTCTTTTTTTATCGAGTCTTGGTCTCATACAAAGTACCTAATCATCTTGGTCTTACACACTTAGTCTTTCTATGGTCAATTAAGTGTCAGCGAGTGTTTATTTCACAGATTGAGTATTTATCTTTATTAAAGAGTATTTGCCATAGTAAGATGATATGGTTTATACAGGGCTTACAGACTTACGTATAACCAAAAGGCGTCACAGACTTGATGAAAATTACCAAAAAGAAAAGTTCTTCGATAAGTGTTTTGACTACATCTTTAATTGGTTTGTGTAAACTGTTTTTTATAACTATTTCATTACATTATCGATACCTATCGCCCAACGGACATAGGTCAGTGGTATTAAATATGTGCTATCGTAAGTAAACCTTGGTATTAAGGTATAATAAAAATGTTGTGTTTGCATACTTATTTATATGTACACCATACGAATCTTAACGAAATTATAAGGCAGTCTTTTCTTTTGACCTTTTCGATTTTTATTGAACTGTTGTAAGTAACTCATCAAATATTGACCGAGTTTTTTATATATTTCTAATAAAAATTAAATGATTTTTACTTTCCGTGGGCTATCTTTCCACTTTATTAATTAGCTACGCTCTTACTTCCTCGTCGATTAAATAAATTCTTCATGCCAATCATTCATATAACTACGTATCTATTAGTATTGGTCGTAGTAATATTCCACGTACGTTTGTAAAACATATCTACGTACATATAAATAAGTGTAATTGCAGCATGTAATTTATAAGAAATTATGCCCATTACACCTTTATAATTTTCTTCATGGGGAAAAACGTTTTACACTCATAATAATTATATTACTAATGCCATTCAACTAGCCAGGACACGTCAGGAAACAATCTAGATCATACATTTTTAATTAATAAATAATTAATTTTTANTGCAAGGATGAACAATAATAATTGATTTGAGCAAATTTAGGAAAAACGAAAGAAGTTCTGCAAAACTGTGTTCAGATCTTTTTTCGTTTATTTAAATATTGATTCACACTTGTCCGTACCGTATCCGGCGCTTATAATATTCTACTTGCAACGATGAAAATAATATTACTACTGATCCGGCAAAATCCGTATTCTCACCAAATGGACGGCGCGGATCAAAGACAGTACCTGCTATTTTAAGTACTATCTATTGTGGGATTCAACAATGATCCTTTTCTATTAAGGATATCGACTTGTCAGCTACTACATGCCTGTCAGTTTCAGTAGCAAACACTACAAATTTAATTTTGTAGATTCGTTTGTTTCCTTTTAAACTCTAAATAAATACGAAATCTCTCTTTAACGAAGAACGCTGGGTTTCTTGTGGATTAGTTACACTGTAGTTATTTGAGTTCGTCCCTGTGCACAATCTTTCTCTAAACTTCGTTCAATTACCCATTGGATAGATACACTTCGTAGAATCAACCATTGTAAGCTTACGACTGGAGAATGTAATGCAGTTTGCTTACACAATTTATTTTAATTTTATTATGAATTTTACCTCGAGGACATGGGCAATACTAATTACTCGTAAGTTTACTTTTAGACATGCCCCGGTCCACCTTCTCTGCGAATATTATTACCAGCACATATAAACATAAAATATAAAAAACCGAAACGAATGTTGCACCTACCTCTACGTAAATATACGTATGTATAACGTCGCTACGAGTGGTTTAAATTAATGTTCATTATCAAAGTTGCAAATACATAATAGGACACACCTTTCCATACCCAACAACCTGTTGTACCAATATCTACGTAGTTGCCGGTGCATTAAGAACAATGCACTGTAATTACCTGCCATTCGATCAAAACGCGTATTTTATCTGATAATAGTTACCATTAAAATCTCAATTTCGATCTAGAAGGCTGAAAAATTTGACAGGTTCAATTTATGGTGTCTATTTAAGCAATTAAGATCATAATCCAATTGGAACGTTCTCTAAAATTATTATTATGATTAATAATAATTGGAAGAGAGTATGGATAAACTATCAGAGTTAATTAATCTTAACTTACTTATTTCTTTCTTTTCGTAAAAACGATTCACTTGTTTATTCTGCAGTTGTGGATACTAATAATAATAATAATAATAATAGCTGGGTAATTAATAACTTTTTCTGGTTCTAAATTGTCCATGTATCGTTTAGATGAGTATTACGATCGATTACGATATTATCATTTTCTCCATCAATCGGCTACGAAGACGTTAGTGGATGGTTTGTCCTAGTGCATATCACTAGCAAGTTTTGGTTACGAAATAGTCCAAATTACAATTGCTCACATGGGGATCTCCATTTGTTGGAATGTGTGATTATGGGTGACGGGAGTTGGATATTTGAGTACAATTTGGAAATCGAGCGCCAAAGACCAAAAAAGCAAGAATGAGCAAGTCCCAAATCAAAATCATGTTGATTTGATTCTTTGATAGCCAGGGAATCATTCACAAAGAGTTTGTACCTCAAGGCTAAACAGTCAATCGATACTTTTATCGAAAAGTTCTTGGAAACTTTGCAAATGGGTCATGTGTGAAGACCAAACACCAAGAACAGTAACTGTATACATCACGACAATGCGTCTTGTCACACATTGTTGAATTTGTAAGGATTTAGTTGTTTTTTTTGCATGTTTTGTCATGTCTGTTTGATACGAGCGGTGTCTAGCTCAAAGGCAAGTGCCGCGCTGGGGGCTGCGATGTCTTGCACAACAGCATTTGTGTTTTTGATTTGTTTAGTCTACCTATCGTGGTGGAAATAAGAATAAGTAAAATTTGCTATGTTTAGTTTAGTCAGTAATAGATAGTAGTAAGCACAACATGTATTGAAGTAGTCTTGTTTTCCGCATTTTAAAATATAAAAGTTAATTCTCGTTTTGATATCTTCGTTGTTTATTTTCAACAAAATAATTTCCCTTGGATTCAGTTCCGCGACAAAACATTTGGCGACCGTGACAGGACTGTTTTTGGGTTATTATTATTGAATTATTGGTTTTTGGGTGTTGTATTAAAACGAGAAAAATGGAACCGTTGAAGAAGAAAAGAACTGTGTTAAGAATTGGTTTTACGAAGGCCCTGAATTCATTACAAGTGATGTTGGACAATGCAGAATCTACAATTGCAAGTTTGAGAGTCGCGTTTTGTACTTTGGAAGATAAGTTAACCGATTTAAATTATTGTCAAGATTCTATAATTGAGGCCATATTAGAGACCGCTACCGAGACTGAGTTACAAAAGGAGTACGATGAAGCAGATGAGTACAAGCATAGGTTTTTAACAGCCAAATACTTGTTCACCGAACGTACCATGGGTGATAGTAATTTAGTGCAAAATTTGGTTGATTGTGCGGTCCCGTCGGGTTCTTCTTCTAACGGTGAAAACAAGAGATCTTATAAGTTGCCGTCGATAGAAATTGTTAAGTTTAACGGAGACATTCGTGAGTGGCTGTCTTTTTGGAGTTGTTTCAAGAAAATCCATGAGGACAAAAATATGTGCAATGAAGACAAGTTCCAGTATTTGAAACAAGCGGTTGTGCCGGACTCAAGAGCAGCGGAGTTAGTTAAAAGTTACCCACCAACTGGAAGCAATTATGATAAAGTAATAAGAAGTTTAAAGAGTAGGTTCGGTCAAGACGAACTTTTGATTGAAGTTTACGTGCGTGAATTGTTGCAACTTGTGCTGCAAAATGCTATTAAAGGACGTGGTAATATTTCACTTGCAAGCTTGTATGATAGATTGGAATCTCATTTGAGGGCCCTGGAAACATTAGGAGTTACCACGGACAAGTGCGCGGCGATGTTGTACCCGTTAGTAGAATCTTCCTTGCCGGAGGACTTATTACGCGCGTGGCAACGCAGTGACGCTGGAAAACACAATTCGGACGCGGAAGATGGAAAACCGCGATCCAAAGACAGACTCACCCGTCTTATAGAATTTATCGAGAGGGAGGTACAAAGTGAGTTGCGAATTTCGTTGGCGTTACAAGGTTTTAATTTAGATACTGGGCACGAATCTGATATTAAGAAATCTAAGCCGTATAAATTTAATAGAAATATTCCGAGCGCGATGGGTTTGTTAATGACCAAAGGAAAAGACCACACCTGTATATTTTGCGACGCCAAAGATCACGAGAGTGAGGGTTGCAATAAAGCTAAAAGAATGAGTTTATCGGGTAAACAAGAGTGTGTGAAGAGAGCGCGTGCGTGTTTTAAGTGTCTTAAAATCGGGCATGGTTTCAAAACTTGTCGAGTCCGCGTAAAATGTTCGCGATGTGAACGAAGACACGTAAATTTGATGTGTCCAGATGAGAAACCAAGAGAACAAAGGGATGAAATTGCGAGCGCAGATACTTCCGCGCCAGTGCGGAAAGAGTTGAATTGTATCGCGAGCATTTCCAATAACAAAATGGTGTTCCTGCAAACATTAAAAGTAAAAATTTACAGCGATAATAGAGAACTGATTGCGCGCGTGTTGATTGATAGTGGATCACAAAGATCTTACGTGACGAAAGATATAATCGAAAAATTGGGTTACCAATCGGTGGGTGAACAAAGATTAAGTCATATGCTTTTCGGTGGCGGGCAGTCGGAAGTTGTCGCACACAAAGAATATCGCGTACGAATGCAAAGTTTAGAGAGCGATTTTGCGTGTAATTTCGTCGCGCTGGACCAAGAGGTCATTTGTGGTCGTATAGAACCTATTGAGAATAAAAAGTGGCTTCACGAACTAAACGAATTTAATATAAGATTAACGGATGTATGGGACTGTGACGATCCAATATCGATTCTTATCGGCGCCGATGTTGCGGGAAAAATATTGACCGGTTGTCGTAAAGAACTGAAGAGTGGTTTAGTAGCGTTCGAAACGTTGTTAGGTTGGACCATTATGGGCGCAGTAAGAAAAGAAAATGTACGGGAAAACTCTACTGTCGCCGCGATATCGTTGTACGTTAAAAATTGCGATTTGAAAGATTTGTGGTCTCTAGATGTGTTAGGTATAAGAGATCCTATGACGTATAGGACTTTTAAACAACAAGAAGAAGTGATGTACAGAGAATTCTTGGAAACCGTTTCTATCAACAGTGAAAATCGATATGAAGTACAGTTACCATGGTCGGAAAACCACCCCCCGCTGTCCGACAATAAAAGTGTTGCTATTAAACGTCTACAAACTACTACGAAGAAGCTTAGGATCGAAGGAAGATATGAAGCCTACGACGCGGTATTCAAAGAATGGTTAGCCGAAGGAATCATCGAACGTGTGTTAGACAAGGAGATGGACATTTGGGGACACTATCTACCACACCGTCATGTTGTTAAGGAACGTAGTACAACTGTAATTCGACCCGTTTTTGATGCCTCTGCCAAACAGCCTCCTTCGCCTAGTCTGAACGAATGCTTACAAAAGGGACCCAATCTCATCGAGCAACTGCCTTCTATTTTATTGAGATTCCGGGAAGGTAATATAGGTGTAATAGCAGATATTAAAAGAGCTTTCTTACAGATCAGTATTGATCCTAAAGATCGAAATTTTCTAAGATTTTTTTGGTATGATGATCAAAATAATTTAATTGTACTACGTCATTGTAGGGTTGTATTTGGTATATGTTCCAGCCCATTTATGTTAGGCGCAGTAATTGAATTACATTTGAAGGGTATTCTTGAGTCATTACAGAATGACTGTAAATCGATTTTTACTCGTAGTAATATTGAAAAATTGTTAAATGATTTCTATGTTGATAATTGTGTAACCAGTGTAAACTCGACTACTCAATTAAATGAATTTATGTATCAGGCGAGGAAATCGATGGAGCTTGCAGGTTTTGATCTTCGCGGTTGGGAATATAATGGTGATGTTTCCACAGAGAGTATCACTCCGGTTTTAGGCATTATGTGGGATAAGAAACGAGATGTATTATCTTTAAATGTTGAAAATTTAGAAAATTTAGATTTACAGAAAATAACTAAAAGAGATATTTTGTCTTGCGTACATCGTATTTTTGATCCGTTGGGTTTTGTTTGTCCCGTAACACTTGGTCCGCGGATATTATTGCAAGAAGTATGGGCAAGAAATCTCACGTGGGATGACGACGTCGGTACTGAAATTAAAACTCGCTTTATAAAATGGTACGAGGGAATTATTGAATTAAATAAAGTAGAGATACCGCGTTGTCTCATCGGAGGAACGGATTCGCACGATGAAATTAGTTTGCATACATTTTGCGATGCAAGTAAATCGGCATACGCGGCTGTTATTTTTATTCGCATAAAAGATAGTGAAGGAGTCAAAGTTAGATTCGTACAAGCTAAATCGCGAGTTTCTCCTATGAAAAGTAAGGAAAATGTACGTAATAGTATACCACGTTTAGAATTATTGGCGGCAAACGTTGGAGCGAGATTGGCTGACGCTACGACAAGAATGTTAAATACAAAATTTGTAAATCTTCATTTTTNTTTGGTTCTATATGAATTTAAAGAAAAATTGTTTTCACGGGTTTCTTTATTCAAGCTCCATGTGGGTATCGCATTAAACCCTTCTTCCCAGGCATTCCGTCAAATCTTCGGTTGAGTCTTCCCATTTGGAAGACCTTAGCTAATTTCTACAATATCTAGCTCTCTCTCTCTCTCTCAAGGTTGGAACCAGTTGAAGTTCATTTAAGTCGATTAAACAACAATTGCAGGTATTATGGATTAAGTCATTTGGTCAATTTCGTCAGACAGGGTCGCCGAGACACTAAAGGAGCTTAAGGACAAAAACTACGTTTTGCAGGTCTTTTTAGTGTATTAATTGCGAAGATTTGGTTTGTATGAATTTAAAGAAAAATTGTTTTCACGGGTCTTTTTATTCAAGCTCCATGTGGGTATCGAATTAAACCCCACTTCCCAGGCATTCCGTCAAATCTTCGGTAGAGTCTCCCCATTTGGAAGACCTTAGCTAAATTCGCCAATATCTAGCTTGAATCAAACTACAGGCAGATAGTGCAGGTAACAGAATAAGACTTCCACCATTTTGTACTTTCCAACGTTTCACTCAATACTGTCAATTCTGAAACGATCAATTCCGGTGTTCGTTCAGACCGAGGATTTTGGACTGTTCATCAAATTACATTTACATATATGATTAGTTTTGTTATATTTTGTTAAGTCACTTTAGTTTGTTATTTTATTTCTCTTCTAATTGCTATAATCTGTAAATGGAATTGTTATATTTGCTCAGTTTCCTCATAGTCATAAGCAGAGCCGGGAAAACTTTAACTTCGAAGGAGCCGCTACCTGAGGTGAATTTGGGTCACTCCATACCCTTCAATGAGTACGAGAGAGTAAGCAGTAATAATCCACATTCCTTTTTTTTCCCCTTCTACTCTCATATCAAGCCCCTACATCCCATAGACGAGTGAAGCCTCTCTCGCAACTTAAGTAATACCTACAAAAATTTTCTAATGATCCTCCCGGAGCTCAGGGGTAGCATACCGGACCACGGTCGCAATACCATTGGGTTCGGCTGTGGTAGAAGGGACTCACCTACGAAATAGAAGGGATAAGAAAAGGAAGGAATCATCTCACTTGCACTCTGATCATAAGCATGTGAGTATAAGACGAGGTGGCTTGCTTCCGTAATAAATTGAACTGTAGTGTGCAAATATACCTTCTTTATTTTGTGGTGTCAATTTCTGCAGCTCGTCAGTAAAGCATTGCGGTTACATTTGCATAAGTTGATATAGCACAAGTACAACAAGAGCACCACAGCGTTTCAACGGAGGCCTCACTCAGTTACCGGTCGTTATTATCGAACGGCACCAACACCGATAGCATTCTTGACACGTGTGCGTACGTATACACTGCATACACTCACATCTATAATGTAAGTTGTGGACGCAACAACAATAACACTAATAATAATAATAATAATAATAGCTGGGTAATTAATAACTTTTTCTGGTTCTAAATTGTCCATGTATCGTTTAGATGAGTATTACGATCGATTACGATATTATCATTTTCTCCATCAATCGGCTACGAAGACGTTAGTGGATGGTTTGTCCTAGTGCATATCACTAGCAAGTTTTGGTTACGAAATAGTCCAAATTACAATTGCTCACATGGGGATCTCCATTTGTTGGAATGTGTGATTATGGGTGACGGGAGTTGGATATTTGAGTACAATTTGGAAATCGAGCGCCAAAGACCAAAAAAGCAAGAATGAGCAAGTCCCAAATCAAAATCATGTTGATTTGATTCTTTGATAGCCAGGGAATCATTCACAAAGAGTTTGTACCTCAAGGCTAAACAGTCAATCGATACTTTTATCGAAAAGTTCTTGGAAACTTTGCAAATGGGTCATGTGTGAAGACCAAACACCAAGAACAGTAACTGTATACATCACGACAATGCGTCTTGTCACACATCATTTCCGATAAAGGCATTTGCTTTTCAGCCTTCTTATTCGCCGAACTTGAGCCCCTGTGACTTTTTTCTCTTCCCAAGATTGAAAACTCACCCCAAGAGGTGTCATTTTGGGACATTCTAGGACATTCAAATGGCTGTAACCAACCAGCTGAAGCTATTCCAGTATTTGGATAGGTCGCCGCGCGTTATTCGAAGAAGTGGCTGATCTTCCGTATAATAGGATGGAAGGAGCAGTAGAGATATAAAATAAAAGATACAGCAGGGTCGAGCTGCCTTCAACAAAAAGTAGTCACTTCTATGCTCGCGAACGTTTAATTTAGAAATTCGAAAAAGGTTGTTAAAGGTGTGAGCCAGGAGTGCGGCGTTGTATGAATCGGGACATGTGACGGTGGACGCGACGATGGAAGAGAAAAGGTTAGAAGCATTTGAAATGTGGTGTTATATGTAAATGACGAGGATACCGTGGATAGAGAAGGTTAGAAATGAATACGAGAACAGAGGTTTCTATGGAGGGCAAAAAGGGATAGGCGACATAGTTCGGTAGGACACCTAGGACGTGAATGGCTAGCTAGAGATTTTATTAGAAGCAGAAACAAGAGCCAGATAAGACTACTGTTCACAAATAGTTAAACGGCTGGATGTTTGAAGATTTCCCTTCTTCCATGAAAATAAAAAAAATAATTAAGGATGTGGGATGTTCTAGTTTTAGGGAAACACGAAGATGAGGTCAGAATAGGAAAGAGTGGAAGTGCGTCTCCAACCACTCTTAGAACTGACGACTTTATGATAATAATGCAATTATTTTTGCCTTATTTTTAGTGAGACTCACTCGTGCATGTCACATGCAGATGGTAGCGGATCCAGTTCCACTAAAAATGTAGATTAAATTTACTTCGTTTCGTACTATTGGGCATTGTTTACAGATGAGGTTATAAACAATGACCGCAAGAATAAAAGGCTGTGTTAATACCGAAATTAGAGAATCAGTATTAACGATTATCAAAGTGAAATTCTACAATAGATGTAATTATGCACTAGTACTAGTAAGATTGTATTACAAATTCCTTTTTTTTTTCACTTTCATTGCTTCAAAACAGCGTGCAAGATATCAGGCGGAGACATATAAACAATAACAATGATAGCTCTGATATCTAAAACGCATCTTTTCATTATATGCCCGTGTATATATATATATATAAATATAGGTTCTCAAAACATATATAATAAATATGTATTTCTGTAATTCCAGACCGCTAACTATAATTAGTACCAATCTTCTCGTAAGTATATTGCGTACTAATTGATAAGATAATTTTGCATTTTAAAATAATTACTTCTGTCTTGATAAAAGTAACCGTTTAATAATTGCAATTTTCAGCTTTGATGTTCACTAATTAATTTTCTACGAAATTATATACAACAATAAATTACAATAATAAGTGTCTGTATGACCAATGATAAATAAGCCATTGTATGGTAGAAACAAAGCTATCCCTAATCTTAATTAATCGCTGTATGTACTTTTGAATAGTTGCCTAATTTTGGATACTGTATTACCTTAAAATGCGTTAATAGTTTTTTGTGATTGAAAATACAAAATAAAGGATTATTATTATACGATTATCCTAGCTGAAGCACTTAACTCCACAGTTCACTATTAGATGGCGTCGTAATATTATGTGCTTTTTGACGTGACAACGTCTTATAATTCGATGGAGCCGGCTGCACACACGAAAAAACATGACTCATGCGGCGTTATCTCGCTCTGAGGCGTTCCATTTAAGGCTTGAAGTGCAAGCGAGAGCGCGGAACGAGCGACAAAGAGGCACAATCGGCCTCCGCGTTCGGCAGCGTTCGACATCTGTCTCTCTCCTACTTGAGTGAGCGATGCGTCCGCGTGGACAGCTGCTATACAATAATACATTTCCATTTACCTCCTTCTCTATATCCATACAAAATATCTATCAAACAAATAAAATTAAAATTTTCTTTTGAAAAATGAAACCATTCCATCAGTATTTTCTTATGACGTTGTCACGTTCAACTATCGTCAGTAAACCGACTTTACAGACAACCGATTTTTTGTGAAAGAGAAGGAATCTATAACTACTCAAAATATTAATCTTTTTTAACACAAACATCCAACACTGTCTAAGGATGACCTGTGACAAACGAACGGATGGACTAGTCTGGTCTTATTATAGGGATTTTTCTTTTATTCAGTGGTACAGAACCAAATAACTAATTTCCTGAGTGGCGTTGGTTTTTACTCTAATTTAAAGTTCTGGAAATTCTGTATCTTATTTTTTGTTAAATGCATGAGCTAATTGATTGTATATTAAATGAAATTTATCGATATAAGGAGAAAAAATTATTCCTAATTGTAGGTATTCAGTCCAAAAAACCAAACTGAATATGTGGGCATCCTTCGTTTTCTGATTCAATTGTGTACAGAAAATTAAAACATTTGAAATAATTCGTACCTATAAATAACTGTTAAAATTTATGAGGCGACATCTATAACCGCGTACNCGAAATTATATACAACAATAAATTACAATAATAAGTGTCTGTATGACCAATGATAAATAAGCCATTGTATGGTAGAAACAAAGCTATCCCTAATCTTAATTAATCGCTGTATGTACTTTTGAATAGTTGCCTAATTTTGGATACTGTATTACCTTAAAATGCGTTAATAGTTTTTTGTGATTGAAAATACAAAATAAAGGATTATTATTATACGATTATCCTAGCTGAAGCACTTAACTCCACAGTTCACTATTAGATGGCGTCGTAATATTATGTGCTTTTTGACGTGACAACGTCTTATAATTCGATGGAGCCGGCTGCACACACGAAAAAACATGACTCATGCGGCGTTATCTCGCTCTGAGGCGTTCCATTTAAGGCTTGAAGTGCAAGCGAGAGCGCGGAACGAGCGACAAAGAGGCACAATCGGCCTCCGCGTTCGGCAGCGTTCGA